TTATTGCGTATCAATAGCAGTTGCAAAATGCTTACCAGACAGAATTCAAAATTTTTACATTGATGTATTTTTTTGCATTGTTAGCTGTTACTGATATAAATAATGAATTGTTATATAGAATTCAGTGTCAATTTAAGGACTCTATTTATTTATTTAACGATATAAACGTTGATGATTCAGAAATAAGAAAAATGATCTAATTTTTTTCGTATTCTACAACATGCTTAGAATTTAAAAACATAAGCAAGATTTTAAGATAATTCTGATTGTGACAAAGTGTATGAAAGTTAAATATTCGACATATTGCAATCACTACAAGCTTTTGTGGGAATTAAGATTCATTTCCAAATTCTAATAAGATTCGATCGTTCATGAGAGAATTGGTTTTTGAAATTAAGAACAGTATGACTGTAGGCATTTTATGCTTCATGGTATATAATCCTGTTGTTACGATATGATTATTGGAATTTTGAGTTATCTTAAACACGTTATAAAAGTAGCACAATTTAAAAGGAGAAAAGTGTGCATGACAAAGAATTATTATTATTTGTGGTGTATTTATCCTTTCAACGTAGCGAACTATTTTGATTTGGTAGACTTGATGGATAGAAGATAAATTACGTGTGAAATTGTGGAGATTATAGATGTATTTATTTGTTTGAGCGATGCGGTTGTTTGCTTTATTTTGGTATGCTGTCTGTTTTAAACTTTAAGTTTATTCATGTTAACTTTTTGCGCGCTGCAGAACTACAAATGCCCCATTAAACTACTTTTGTTGAAGATGCAATGTATATGCATGTCTGGAAATACGATGCTGTTAAAAAATCTGAATTCTGATTAAATTCTATCGCCAAAAATAGAATTCTAAGCAGATCTTTGATTTCATATCAGAAGTAAGTGTGCGTGAAGCTTTGCGTCTATCGATAGACGGATAAGATCCAAACGCACGTCCACACCCGATCTTGAGAATGGCCATACAATAACGAAGAACAAAACACTACTGAAGACAATAGAACAGCCAGCAGATTCTTTTATTTTTATTCATAGTCATTTTTCTTAGTAATTTAGAGAGGATATCAGCAAGAGAATGAAATATATCGCGTGAATCTCTTTTGTCGACCATCTACAAAATCGGCATTTGCCTTTCAAACTTCAAATAGCGAAAATAAAACCAAAAGCATTTTTCATGGATTAAACTCATTTGAATAACTAATATTGCGACTATTACCACAAAAGCTCTCATGACAATGATCTCAATCTATTTTGAGGTGACGATTAATATGATAATCCTTCTTGTTCTCATTATCATTCTCACATCGTCCTTCACAAGAAAATTCCTGTTCTAAACACAAAACAAAATTCTCAGCAGAGTACTACCAGAACTGTATGTTTTTTGCAGAGAATTTTACTAGCCCTCTAGTAGAGATGGTTTTTTCTCAAGATTTTGCACTGATGTTATATATGATCATAAATTTTATTTCATTCAAATAAATGATGTATATTCTTATTGTCGCATACAATTTTCGATAAACTGAATATTTTTTAATAAACTTTCAAGGCAAGAGATAGTCAGCAAAGATAAGAAACCAAATCCGATCCCGACTTTTACATGGGTAACAGTGAAGCAAGTAATCAAGAAAAATTATGTTAAAAGAAGTTTGTAAAACTGATTGAGATAGTTTTGTTTTTATAGTCAACGATAATATTTTTAGTGTCTATTTGCATAGGGCATGCCGATTTGATTCTTGATTGCCAATGATTCGGCTCTTCGAAAAGCAGCGACAAACGCTGATATAACCAAACATATGACGAGCAGTGGTAAGGCATTGATGAGTAGTATTGAACTGAAGCCATATTTAATTACTATTAAATTGCGTAAATTCATATCATTCCATTTTGGGTTATTCAAGTTCAATCCATTTAATGCAGATTCAATTGTATTCTGTATATGTGAGTTCAATCCAGCCGGAGTATTAATATTCGAACTTGATATACTGCTTTTCTTTGTAATCGAACTCCATTCATCCAACTTTAATCTACCAACAATATCCTTTCTATCCTTTATAAGCTCTGTATATGAACGTCGTGGCAATTCAGGCCAGAAAACTACTATAGAGGCAAGCAGAATAGTGATGGTTACAAAAATGAAAACAACAGGTATGAAGAACATCTGTGATGAGAACTGTTTTTGAGTACTAATTACTGATGTAACAACTAGAGAGAACACGATTAAAACCACTGTAACAATGGTTAAAACCGCTGGCATCGTTGCTACATCAACAAAACATTTGCCTAATATACAATATTCCCACAAACCGAATGACATTATCTTGATGCCAATAATCTTGATCACTATCCATTCCTTAGTAGCCAAAGCCACGATAACGAATGTCAAAGCAAGAAGACCGCATTGGAACATCATGAAATATAGTAAACGAGTTCGATCCATAGATACCCTTTATCTGCTCACTTTAGAACAATAAATGAAAAATTATTTGATATATAATCAGTATTTGTTGTTTTATAGTTGGATGCAAATGGAAAAAAAAATATCATAAAGCTAATGTTTTCTTTAGCTTTTTTTTTTTGTCAGCAAATAGCAGTTCTATTTTAGTATTGTTATGAAACGATCATCGGCATGCTAGTATCGTACGATGTAAAAAGATGTTTTTACGTGCCTTTGCTGGATTTGATGCTAAAAAGAATAAAAAAAAAAGCTTTTTTTTTTTTACTTATCTATAGTTACCAAACTATCCCGTAAATTTTCTTTAAATATTTTCTTTTTTTCACAACTTTCATATGAATATGATAGATTATTTTAATAAAAAGAATGTTTTGACAAGTTTAGACCTTCATTTCCGTTGATCGTGACTGCAATAACATATTATTCCTACAAAAAAAATCATCACTTGAACATATAACCAGTGTTGTCACGTTCTAAAATGTAATAAGCAAAAAATGATGCAAATTCTTTTGTCAAAAAAATAGAAAGCTTCTTTTTTTCTATTCCAAATCATTTTACGTACTAGGTTTTTGTAATATAAATAACTTCACAATCTTCTTTCTTATCTGTATAAACACTTTTCATGCACATAAACATCGAAAGTAATTAACTACATTGGATGCTGTTTTTGTATTGAGAAGAAAAAAACCCAAAAAAGTTGTATATTACAACTTTTTTAAGTATTACATGGAATGCAAAACAACAAAGAGCAAGAACTAACATACAACATCTTGATAATATGGCAGATCTTTCCATGATAGAATAGTGTACGATATTCATAGAAGTTATGTAAACAGCGTTGAATTATTTATCGCTGTTATATACCTGTTGTTCGATGATGTTTTATTCATAGCAGAGTGTCAATAAATATGCCGAATATTATATGAATATTAGAGCTGCCTTAAATTCAGTGATAAAGTTTTGGACAATAATCAGGATTATTTTCGATTATGAATAAAAGAGGATGATTTTTCCTAAAAAACATACGAGGGTGTGGGCATGGGTGTTAACTAAGAGAACAAATGTCCACACCTATACTCTCATAGATTTATCGAGTATAAGCTAGTGTTATCATGAGATTACGAATCGGATCCTATTGTCGTGTGTCGTTACTGGCAGCCGGAATCCATCTAGGAATCCTTCTTTCGAGATTCTCTGGAAAATCATCAGATCCGGCCGTTTCTTACCGTACGTCTTTGACCTGGAATAATATATATAGTATATAATAATTTATTAAAACAAAAGTCGATTTTTTTCACGTCAAATGAAACATGATATTTTCAACTTAAATGAAATGATGATGGTTTTTTTTATCGATATCATGTTACCAAGCTGGATGTGAGCAGACAAACTATTTTCCGTCAGAAAGAGATAGAAAATCCATTGCAAAATTTGAAAGATCACGATTGGTTTTTGTATGAACATTTTAGATTTATCCTGAACAGTCAGTTGTAAACAGACTGTATCCAAAACTTTTTGACACTATCCATATGCTGATCATTTTAGTAAATTTCGTAATATCCATAAAGAGATATCTATACTAGAATGAAAATATTCAAAAGTGTCTAATTCAGTCGGTACTCTGATTGAGAGCGGTGTAGATAGATAAGAATGGATACATTTACTGACTGCCATTCTCATCACCCTGCTTTATATAAAAGATGAATTATTACAAGTCAATGTGAACAGGTGAGAATTTTCAATTGTGCAATGGATTAAACTTCATTGAATTTTGAATTCAACAATGAAATCCTACCCAAGATACATACGAAAATATTATCGATAGATTGTACAATTGAATAGACTAGAAAGATCTTCTGAGCAGATATCCATATATCTTCATAACCCTAATTATGATGACACTACTTGCGAAGCATACATCACTTGATACAAATGTTCACGTACAATCATATTTTTCGTTTTTGTTCTCATGCCCATGAATTTTTTGCAGTGTTCTTGCCGGTTTAGTTTTCTCTCCAAAAACTCCATGATATGACAATCTATTTTGTAATTTATTCAATCAATTTTGATTGTCCCTATTAGAAGATTCTGAGTGGTGGTACTGATATAAATTATGTGAGACTGAAGGAATTTTCAAGTGTATTCTTCACGTATTTCTAAACATGAGAAGAAAATTATTCGAGCAGAGTTTTTAACAAATAGTTTGGTAAAATAAATTAGTCACTCATTGACAGTTTCAATATGATGATGGATATTAGTTGCGTTTTGAAATAAATTTATTACCAAAAAGATTTGTTTACATGGAGCACATGTCAGAAATAATGAATCAATGATTATCTAGAAATATATTAAGCAAAAACTTCTACTCCGATTAAAGCACTCTAGTTATATTTGTTCGATTAATAAATATGAGAAAAATAAATAGAGAAAAAACAGCTTCATCTACCGGAAAATTCTATGCGCACTGTTTGTTTGTTTTTTTAGGAAGTAAAATCGTTATTCGTCTATACTAGGCTTTGCATTGAGTTATTCAAGTTTATCGTTTCTTGTTATTTCTAGTCGTCAATTGTTCTACTCGGTTAACACATCTACGAATGGCGCTTTGAATAGTATGCATACGCGAATAATTTGGATTTTTCATTTTGTAACCATGCTTAAGACCAGCTTTATAATGATTGAGTGCCATGGAATTCTTACCCATAGATTCATAACTAGTTCCGACAGAAGTATAAATTTCAAAAAGTAATGCATGATTTGGTTTTGAACGATTCTTTTCGATTTCTAAAGTTTTTCGAAAATATTTAAGTGACATAGAATGATCTTTCATTGACTTATAGACGCATGCCATACTTTGAAACATTTGTACAAAAATTGGATGATCACTTGGCAATGATGTGACACCAATTTCAATTGCTTTCTCATAATATTCTATAGCTAATGGATACTTTTGTTCACCAAAATAAACTGCACCAATGTTCTTGTATGTTTTTAATAGATCAAAATGATTGGCAGCAAGCGACGCAAGATTGATATCGAGTGCTATATGATATGTTTTTAATGCTTTCTTATAGTAACCTTGAAGAAAATAAACATATCCAATATAATTATAAGATTGTCCAATATGTGGATGACCAACTGGTAATTGTTTTAGTCGAATATCTAAAGCTTTTTCAAGATTAATTAACGATTGTGAAAATAAACGCATATCGGCATATACACATCCGATATTTGCATGGCTTGTAGCAATATCAGCAATATCTGTTGGTTTCGGTTCATTATTTTCAAGTCGCATTTGTAAGGCTTCTTTATAATATTTCAATGCTTCTAGATATTTTTTCTTATTGGCAAAAATTAATCCAATATTGTTCAATATTGTACCAATGTAAGCAGTATTTGATGAACGATTTTTCCTTGCATATTTAAGTGATTTCTCATAATAGTTCAATGCGTCGCTATAGTAACCATGATCACTATACAAAAGTCCGATATCATTGTAGATCGAAGAAATTTGATCATGATCGAATGAGCGTAATTCTTCAAATAGAATATCAAAGATATGTTCAGCTTTATCATAATTACCAATTTTCCACAGAAAATAACCCACCGATGTTAATGGTGATGCATAATCACTTTCACGTTTCAATAATTCGTTAATTTGATTCATTTCTTTTGTTTGTTTTTCATCTATCAATCTTAATTTAACATGCCAAACGTCATCATATTGTTCAATAGATTCATTTTGAAAAATAGTACCCGGCGAGAAGAGAATTTCGCTTTGATCGTTATCTTCGTTGATCGCAGCAAATGGTTTGGTCGATTTTGCAACCGAACGATTTACAACTACTTCGAAAACAATTGATTCAACAAATGAATTTCGTTCACTATTTTTAGCAAATGTAATAGATGTTTGCAAATTTGTTGTTGTTAAAAAAAAGGTATTTATCGAAATTAATTTATGAACATTGATTTTTATTTTATTCAATTCTTCACTACTTATACCTTGTCCACGATAAAATATCCATTGTTTTTGTTCGTTAGATAATTGATCAATATAATTTAAATGAAGTTTTTCTAATTGATGATGCATATCAGCTAAAAAAAATCTAAATTTAAATAATGTAATAATATCTTCGGAACGAAATGCTTTATTTAGTAAACGATAGATGAAACAATCACGTTTATACCATGATATAACATCAGTTGGCTTATAATTTTGACGAAAATTTTCAATAGATTTTTGTTCTAATTCATTATCGATATAGTCGAGTTCACATTTACTTAATAAATACTTTTTGATAGAGTCAGATTGAGGTGTACGAATGACTGTTTCAATTAATAATGGAAACCAATTAACAGTTGAACTGTTCATATTGAAATTATTCATCGATTTTTCTGGTGTTAACACGCTTGTTGAACATAAATTATGAGATGATACTTGATAGTCTTCTTTCAATTTTATCATTAAGGAACTATTATCCATAAAAATACCACTAAGTTTTGCATAGGTTTGAATAGATGATTCATGAGACATACGACGATGACAATATATGTAGATATGTTCGAGTTGAGAATGATCATGAACACGAGGAATAACAGTTTTTGACAATGTATCCGATATGATTAAAAATATTTTTTCTGATGTAACAGAATTCACATATTTGACACATTGTTCGATATTATGAAATAATTTTAAGTAATTGATAATGCAACGTAATTGACATTGAATTTCATTTTGTTCTCTCTTTTCATCAAGCCAAACAAGTGAAAAATCTTCATAATTAGGATCATCATTTGTAAACGATATTTTTCTCGATCCACGCCTTGCTTTTTTCTTAGTAACATACATCGATGATGACGATGCACAAGCGGACATAGAACTTGTTCTGTGCAAGTTTTTCTTTACAAAGTCGACTTTGTATAAGTGTTCGGATCAAAAAACAAACCACTGAATGAATGCAGTTTTGTAAACTGAATAAAAAGAAAAAACAAAATTAAAAAATCGTTTTATCGCTATTAAAATAGCACAGAAACTCTTGTAAATTAAAAGAGTAAAGAAAAGAAGAAGAAAAAAGCAACGAAAGTAATTGATGCCTGGATTTGATTTCGTCTTTTCGAAGATACGATCGAAAAACTAGAAGTGTGTGAAAGAGTAACTATTTATGTACTGCTGATTATTTGTATTGTTCTATGATCAATGAAAATATAGACAGATATTAATTGTCTTCTGATAAGAGTCACAACATGTAGGTCAATCTCTTACTTTTGTTTTCTCCTTCACAACATAGTTTTGCTTTTATGTCTTCTACAGAACGGCAAATGATTTTTTTTTTCAAATTTCGACAATACTCCCTTTCGATTCTTGTAGCAGCTCTACAAGGAATATTTACTTGTCATTGGCAATGCTACATGAACAAGTATGCATGCATAACAATCGAGCTAATCCATCGATCATTAACAAAAATTGAAAAAATTAACCCGTTTATGATAATCACTGAGTCCATTGATAAAGTTGACAAAAAAAAGAACATGTATACCAAATATTCTTAATCATTTTAAATTCGCTTATGGTGCGAAAAATATCAGTAGTTTGTGCAATGCCAAGAGGAGTGAATTCTTTTCTTTGTACATATTATTTTATGTCATCTGCAAGTTTCTTGTTGCTGTAAATATATCAGTCAAATGGACCTGTCCTCATGAGAATGAGTGTTTTTTTTTCTAATCGTGTGGGACTAATTATTGTGTTTTGTATTCAGTTTTCAACTTTTCATTGTATTAATCTAAAAGAAAACTATTCTGATACATGAATTTATGTGCAGACTTTGCCAAACCAGAGTACGTAACATTTTGACAAAGAATGGATTCATACAGTAATTTATCAGAAGCATTTTGTTTAAATATCACCGATTTCAACTTTATTTTCTGTCATTATACTTATAGTATATTAGTAAACACGAAGAAATTTCATCGAAAACTATCACCTATTGTGTTGACATATGAGAAAATTGTGAGAAGAAAACTGTTCGCTTAAGTATCTAACTTCGTATAATATTTACTGATCATATAACTTATTAGTCATTGTTGATTGTAGTTTCATAGACAGAAAAATTAGACGAACGTAACTATTTTCATTAATATTTATCAATAAAAAAGTCGAATAAGTCTCTTACCAATTTCAGAATTAAAATTGAATTACAATAATTGTGCACAATATAATTCTTTGGTGCGAACTTCTAAAAATTCTTCAAAATTACTTAAATTAGTGTTAGGTTCAATCTTCTCATCGTCATCAAGATCAAATAGTAGCATGCATATGTCTTCAGTTAAGACTACCACTAATCGAAAAAAGTTGGTCATTATCAAAAGTTTCGATTTTAAGACCAATACGTGCTCTTAAAGTCCAAAATCTGAGCTTAAAGTAATCAACATAATGTGTCTGCTAAAGCATTAGTTATTATTATAGTTTTAGATACTTCTAAAGTATGAGTTTCATCATCAATATGATTTCTGATCAATCCATTATTTCTTTTGAGTATTTCTAACCATTGTTTTTTTCTTGTTCACATGATCTTGACAAAATTTGATATGACATTGGCAAACAGTCGATTTTCTTTGTCCCGTACTTTAGGAGAAGGATCGACTCAATTAGTTGCATTTAATTTTGTGGAACTCACATATATTTTTGAAGAAAATATAGTCAGTGTGAGTTTTAAGTCGAAGATTTTCAGCTTCCTTCCCTCGCTCTATTACAGACTTTAGCAATCTACCACAATCGGCATTAACAACATCACTAAGACTGTTCTAAAGAAATTCTAGAATATTCAAAAGTCTTCCTCAAAATTCGAATAACTCGAATACATTTGTGAATGTTTTAAATAGTGTCAGTTTTTATTTTTGCACAGATAAAAATGTATATTCAAGCTGTCAACCATGATGGATAGTGATGCATTTTATTTGACACAATTGTTATATGATCAACAAAAAAAAAGGTGAATTGATTAAGATCTATATGATAGTGCGTAAGATCTGCTATTGTAGATATAATGGATATTTACATTAGGTTGATTTGTCATTAAATTCAATGCTTATAATAATAACCATATTGCATTAAGAAAAACGAAAATGAAAAATAACGAGCAAATAGGAATAATACAAACCAAAAATAGGATGCCCGTAAAAAGTAAGAAAAAATCTGTTCCAAATGTAGAAGTAAATAAGACAGATCCGTACTTTGATGATCGATTCTGTTGGAAAATAAATATAGTTCACGAGAGATTTTTCACTTTATATAGTTTTTATTTAGTTTAACCTTTTATTCTTCTTCTAACTGTCGGGCACCTTATGAGCAGAAAGAGATCAAATAATTTACTCGTGATTATATTGTTTCTTCACTTGATTATCTTGACAGTTCTCCAGTATTTGGAGAGAAAAATTTAATATAGTAGATTACTTTACTCTTTTTTTTCTCATTTAGTTTTTCGGATAGTTATCAAGCATCTTATGAACAGAATAGGATAAGTTAGTTTATTTTTCTTCTCTTTTTCTTCATATATTATTCATTTCAAAAGTATCGTACAAAATCTAAATAGATTTCATGTAAAACCATTGTATGTTTTTCTGGCCGAAAAGATCTCATAGTATCCCTTCTAAAGGTTTTGCACTAGACTAATCATTTCCCTTGTCTCATCTATAAGACAGACAGATGTTTACTAATCAAAAAATCGCCTGATCTGACTTTGTTCTCCTGTTTACTTACATATTTGCATTTACTTTGCAATCAATTTTAGATTTTACATTACTTTTTTTAGACTTCATATTTTCCTATACGAAATTTATCGCTGAGTCAATAGAGAACGCTTAGCTTATGCAGCAATCGCATCTCTATCTTAGCTAAATCCTTGAATACTTTAACATTTTGCTGAAAGAAACACTATATTTCTTAGTTAACGTAAACCTACGTAACCTTACCTAACGATTACTGCTAATAAAAAAAAATAGCGAACAGAGATCATTTAATTCATTAATATTAACTGTTAACGGGTCAGTTAACTGTAAATGCACCACGTTCACTATGCTAAAATGTTCGGTCTTATACCATTAGATTTTCGGAAGATATGCATCAAACAAGTATCAAAAATCGCTCGTTTCATTTCTCAAAATTCTCTCTAGTCCTTCATTCTATATACATATTCATTTTTTTTTGTTTGAAAGAGCATATGAGCCTGAAGCACATGTTGAAGCTGTTTTCTTAAAATTTTTATCTTCTTTAAAGAAGGAAAAAAGCTGATAACTCGATAAACCAAAAAGCACTTCACAAATTTCAAATTCTTCAATTATTTTTGGAGAAGCCTTTGGGGATATTGTATAGTCATATTTTTTCTTTCTCAAAAAAAATACGAATAAAAAAAAGTCCTTTGACAAGCATTGCATTCTGAAATACTCTATTAAACAAAAAAAAACGAATCTATAAAATACGGAGGTAAAGACAATTTTGGAAGATCCAATGCGTTATGTTCTTCCTCTTGTTCGACGCCTGCCTGTAGGAAAACTTCATGATATAGTGCTCAAAATTTTAGCAGTCTTTCCATGACAGCTCCCGCATGTCTTGAAAATATCATATGATTTCAATATACTTGACCCAAGATCAGTTTTAAGAATGCTTTAACACATAATTCACTTAAAATTGAGAGCATAAGTGGTTGGCGTGAGGGTAATACTATTCCATTCAATTATTCTCTATCAAGGCGAATCTATTTTGCGACAATAATGACTTATAAAACTTGACTGACAGTTTTCAGGGTCTAAGAATACGAACCTCTATACATTTTCTCGAAATTTGAGAGTTGCGTTTTGTTCGACCTTACAGCCTCAAACATTGATGCTGGTAGTCAAGTTTTATAATAATAAAAAAAACATGTTATTTTCGTAAATTAGACCTTCCCCGAACGAGAAAAATTGATTGGATAAGTATCACCCTATCGCAAAGCAATTATTCACTTAATGTTAAGTAAATTATGTGTTACCAGAAAAAACTTGAACTTAATTCTAACAATTAACCTGAAGTTAGTCATCCACCTTTTATTATTATTAATAATCAAGTCATCAGTTAATGCTTATGATAAAATCAATGTAAATGGTCCATCGTTTTCAAAGACGTTTCACCATAGTGACAGTGACGTAGGTAGAGATATAGGTGAATAGACAAATATTTACGAGGGATGGGCTGAGAGGATAGATTAAAGGGATTGATTGAGCAGTTACATTAAAGAGTTAGATTAAGATGATAGGTATATATTAAGATGTTAGATGAGGGAATTAGATTAAAGGAATATATTAATGTATGGAGATCGATTAAACAGTTTGGCGAAGGGATTAGATTAAGGAACCATATGAAGAGGATAGATATAGATTAAAGAATTAGTTAAAGGGATAAAGATAAGATCCTATATTTGTGGAAGCAGGTGTATATAAATTGAGGCACGTATATATATTTATATAAAGTAGTATAGGTATAAATGAATGGATTGGTATAGGCGTAGAAACCTTATTTTTACGAAATTTGAAAAAGGTTTTGATTTCGTTGTAAAATTCAGAATCTTTTTGTACGTTCCGTATGATATCCTTTTTTTAAGTGCACTTCTTTTAGATAACTTTTGATAGGAACACTATAGAGACCAGCAACTTTCATCATGAAAGAAAGAAAACCCAAGCCATTGATCTATATCGAAATTTAATTACCCAACAATCGATAGATCAAGTGAATGTTTCATGAAGATTTTGAAAACAACGTTCTGAAGATAATTTTCTTTCGAACTGTCCAATATGGGCATTCTTAACTTATTTCATTGTAGAGTTATAGGAGTTTCCCTGAGACCTCTAATTTCACCTAATCCACCTATGATAATTCAGAAAAGCAGCTAAGCAGTAGCAATTCAGCATGGTGAATCATTTCTGCTCAACTGCTGTTCCGGACGATCACAGGTCTATTAGATGAAACCAGGAGTCTCGGGGAAAGACTTATACTTCTCGAATGAAACCAATTAGGAATGTCTATCTTGTGTAGATCGAAAGAGAAAAACTTTTCCTATTGATTTATTTTATCGAAAGTTTTAATCGAAAGTAACACAACTTCAGAATGTTGTTTTCGAAAATCTTTACCAAGAACTCACGTGATTTCTCAATTGCTGACCAATCGAATTTCGATGTAGGTCGATCGTTTGAAGTTTCATGTTTGAGTGATGAAAACCGCAGATCTCTATGATGTTTCTATCAACAATTATTCGAGGAATACTTTAACACATCATATTTTGCAGTGAATAGTAGTTATCTCTATGGTGTTTCATCATCTAATGAAAGAAATTGAATAAGTCATTTTCGTTTTACTTTATTTTCGTTGTTCAAGTATCCTAATAGTTGTCGTACCCTTTATGAGAGAAATAGGGGAAGATAGTTCCCATTATGAAGTTTAACAATCGAGAGCAACAAGCATCACACTCCTTTAGCAAAGTGTCTTAGCAACAGAAAGTGCGTTGATCGATATTAACAACATCATTTAGACTTGTGTAAATAATTTCTAGAATATTCCGTAAAAAATCAAAAAATCTGTTCAAAATGTAGAAATAAATAAGACAGATTTTTCCTTTGGTGATCGATTCTCTTGGAAAACAACAGTTTTCGAAGTCATGATAGTTTCTTTGGCCCATAGTGCACAATTGAATTTGAATGAGAAAGATAAAGAACGTGTGAATTGTGAACCGACAAAAAAAAAACATTTAGAAGCAGTAAGGAACTTTTTTTTTCGTATCTGATAATAAACTGAAGAATTTCGTTTTATCTTGGTATTTATGATGGTGTTGGCTAAACAGTCTTAAAGATGAAGTCTTGACTGTTATTGGCTAGAAAGATAGAAAGCTCTTTATCGCGCCAAGTTACAGGACGACTAAGTTGCAAAAGATGACGACATCCATCAAACCTAAAGCACATTATTTTGTTATCTAATCGGCATTTTTTCTACATTAGATATTTATTGGTTTATCAACTACTTGATTATTCAACATTTATGGCTGATACATTGGCAGATCAATTAAGACCCGATGATGCGACTCTACCGACATCGACGCAAAATTACGAAAAAATTGACGTTGATGATTCTACTAGAGTGATAGTAAAGAGCAGCAAGTACGTATAACGAAGCCATATATAACTGTTGTCATAGGTCATTTTTAATATAGAAAACTAGGTCCACTTGCCAAAGGTCTTATTGGTTTACTCGTGATTGCGATCGTGGTGACCGCTGTGACTGTCCCAGCCGTTCTTTTAACGCGACCGTCAAAACAATCTTCGACTACTTCCGTGCCCACTAATTCGTCTGGAATACTATTAACGACAGGAGTTGCTTCGACAATCACAACAACAGTGGACATTGGCTCGACAACTTCAAAAACAACAGCGGATATTGCTTCGATTACCACAATAACAACAGCAGCGAGCAGCGCTTCTACAGCCACAACAACAGTGGTAATTCCTTCTGTAGTCACAACAACGACAGCAACAGGCATCGGTTCTACAGTCACAACAACAACAGCGAACATCGCTTCTACAACCATAATAACAGGCGGCATCATTCTGACATCAGCAACAATAACCATAGACACTGCTTCGATAGACACAACAAAAACAACAGGCATCGCTTCGACAGCCACAACACCAATGGATATTACTTCTGCAGCCACAGTATCAACAGCAAGTATCTCTTCGACAGCCCAAGCAATAATAACAAGCGTCGCTTCAGAAGCCACAGAACCAATAACTGACGTCTCTTCGACAGCCACTTCTAATATAACCGAGACTACAGGTGAGATTTGAGCATAGGAGAATCTGTTCTTCATCCATCTCTTGTTAGCAACAGCAGCTTACGCACCGGAGATGTGGGTGCCGATGAACGGAAGACTTTCATTCAAATCCACACCGACGTCCTGTACACGTTCTAACATTTTTTATTGCTGCTATCGTTTAAGGATCTTAAATTACTTTCTTGTTGAATAAGATTTAATCGATGATTGACACGGCTACCCATCGGTTGCCCACAGATGGTGAAACACTCTAGACATGTAAAATCTTTCTTAGAGTGAGCAACTCCAAAATTTTGTGGAAAACATCGTCAAACAAGGATCGATCTACAGAGGAAAAGATTCTTCAACTAATTAGTTACTAATTGATCGGATACAAAGTACTATTTAAATATATGACCTTCGTAAAAATGTTAGTTCTCTACGAACCAACAGAAGAAGTTCAAAATCCATCTTTATTTTGAATGAAATTCCATTACGAGGCTCGCTTATGTTGCTGGTTTTTGCAACACAAATGAAGACTCCAAGTATAATATAACGAGCTCTACCGAACACATCCATTTCGAGGGCAGTGTAATTTAATATTTAGATCCGTTTTCTAGAGATACTGCAGGACGAAAATTTATTAGAATCTGCATTTTATAGTATTTTTAGACTATTAAAGATTTTACACTGTTTTTTTTTCATAAGTATGCACATATTTAGGGTACTAGTCATTTCGTCGCACGATCACTTCATCACAGAACATTTTGTCGCGTTCTGTTCGTCGCAGAATAATTTCTTTCATTCTGTTCATTGCATCCTTCTCAATTAGTTCTTTTTTTTTAAATAACCAATTGCAATAAAATAAAATAAATTAAAAATTCTGAAAGATGTATACGATAACGTTAAACGATTGACTATTCTAAGACATATGACTTTAATTGGGAAAACGGATCAATAAAAAATATTAATCAAAAGTGATCATGATAGAGCTAAAGTGAACGAAGAATAATTAGAATTGTCACACAGTTAATGAGTTTCAACATAATCTAGACCAATGATAACACAGATCCAATGTTTTTAATTATGGGATCACAATAAAAAAAAAACATGCATTGATGACATTGAACATATATTTCATTTCNCCTTGTTTTTTATACAAAAATGTGTTTCCTATAATCTTCTATCGATTGCTGAAAACCGCACATCGCTATGACTTTTCGTTAGAAAGTTAGAAGCTTTTTCTCCACCTGCCTTCTATTAAAACTTCGATAGTAATTATGAGCAGTCAGTGGAGTCAGTGTGCCTGATTCACCAGTGACGCCGAGGATGTCAGGGCATCAGTAATCCGTGATGCACTGGTCATCGGTGCTCCAGTGGCTTCAGTGTTAGTGTATTAGATATTTCAGTACTCAGTGACACTAAGTCTATCGATGTGCACTGAGTGTCGCTGGCGGTGACAAAAGTGTCAGTTTTTTCGGTTTTGTCACTGACACTGCACATCCCTATATGAACTACGTTTTATCACGGCACAGTCATTTTTCGACGAAGAAAAAAGGTGGCAGATAGAATTATATTTTACTAAGACTTTAAAAGGCTCATAAAATGGTACCCAAATCTAGAACTCTAAAAGGTTTAACATGACACCTTTTTCTTTAAAGAATAGTCTCACAAGAGCCAAGATATGGACAACATATCGCGTCTTAAGCGAAACTTCACCTGGAAGAGTTACCTTGCGAGTTATAGATCTCAGTTATTAGAAAAGAAATTAGTTTGAACCTTCTACTACACTTTAACTACAATGTTTATAAATAAATCTTGAACGATTCGTGTTTAACTACGAAACTCTTTTAGGTTTCAAAAATGGAAATTGTTTTGCACTTTTCGTGCCAAACCTTCGTTGGCTTAGAGAGTTTTGGTGGGTCGAGCATGTTGTATACTAAACCATTTCTAGATTCAAAATAATAGCAGAGTTTTTTTGCTTTTCGCAGAAACCATCTGTAACGATAAATAAAGTGAGAGATGTAGTAACAGACTGGCGGAGTAGCTAGCCACTACCCTCGACAATGATGTTTATTCAGCTACTTCACATATCCAGCATGTCTGCTTCACATATAACACACGTATATATAGGAGAGAGAAAGAGAGAGAGAGCTGTGAATTTGTCATTTGTTAACCCTTATGGGAACAATAAAATAAATATCAAAAAAAAAAGAAAGAGAGAGAGAGATAAATCTTCAGTGGAACAATGGAGAGAGAATAGAGAGAGAGAGAGAGAGAGAGAGAGAGAGAGAGAAGGAAGGAAAGTCATTGGAGCGTGTCATCAATATCGGCACACCATCGTACCTCCAAGGATTAAAAAAAGTGTCGAATCTTCACGATATCCGCAAGGATTGGTAGAATAAGAAATAATTGTGGATGATTTGTGGACAACCTGCGATAGTTCCACCCAAGAAAAAAAGGATTGCGTATTTTTTAAGCGAACCTACAGTATTTGATTGTTGCATTAAAATGGTCTCTAGTAATCTTATGAAACCCTTCATAGTTCCGTAGAATCTAAAAGGGTATTTAACTTCTCTTACTGAACTATCTTCGTACTTCGACAAAAACTAAAAAACTCGGTATATCTTCTACAAAAACTTTGATGCGAACGAATAGTGTCAAAGGTTTTTTCCGAACCTTCTGAAGTATTTAGACATGGGAGGAAACCATTCCATTCGATTAGATTTTTTCTTTGCTGATTCAGGGTCTGTCATTTTTATGCCCGAATGACAGACTTTCAACAACGAAAACCTCTTTTTGTCGGCAAAATTTCATAAAAATTAATTGATTTGTTGAAATGTCGCTTCAAGTTCATTCTATGATCCAATACACTTTGTGATCACAACATCCTTGAAGAGTACTAAAACTTACTGTTACAGACTCAATTTCTATCGAGACTCTAAATATATCAATTTTGGATCCGCATAAAATGAAAATTCTTTTTTTAATCGCAAAAACGTAGTTTTAGAAATAATGTAGCATTCAGAACTATTGACAAGATTCGAATTTTTTTTCATAACTGGTTTTTCAAAAGAAACTAAAAATCACATAGTCTCACTCAACTAGTTGAGCTCTATCTAACTACGCAAGGATAAACCCTGAAAAGTTATCTGAAATGAATGTATTAGAATTCTAAATAGTGCTAACGTAATGTTAACACTTAAGTATGAGTTAACTCTAACGCCAATAATGCTAAAGTATTACGCTTAATGTTTGATGCTAAGGCTAGCACGACACGTCTATATTCCAGAAAGAATTTCATCTTGATATGAGTTCACTATAAAAAAAAACATTTAACTTAAAATAACAATATAAAGATGATGGATAAATAGTAACTAGAACTAAAAGAATAATTTTTACACAATCATTTGCATTTAAAGTATCGTGCCAAAATTGATGAAATTATCTCTTTGAAAAGTTACAAATTAGGCTTGATTTTTGTTGCGAGCAAAACATAACTGTTGAAAAACTTTTATTTTATTTTGTTAGAAACAACAATACAAAAAAAAGAGGGAAAATATATGTTTATAATTAAGCAAAGAAATAAGAGAAATACACACATATGCACTACGCGCTACTCAAATACTCTAAACCTTTTCGAATTTTTTTGTGAAAAAGTAAGAAAAAGAAGATTTGGTTTTGGTCATATTTATTCTATCTAATTCCCGAAGTAAAAAAAAAAAGAATTTCACTCAGATTTATGATGTATAAATTGGTAATAAATCTCGTTGAATATGATGACCATCGTGCTTTTTTCCAAGAGATTGTTTCCATGGAAATACTACTGTTTCATTTGTGTCTACATTAATAACGTCAACTTTATCAAGAAACCAATCAGATAAAGACATAGAATTCTGATATTCAATATGTAATTTTGTTAATTTACCTATATTCGTAAAGTTTTATTAAAGAAAAATAAAAAGATTTTATTCTTACCTAATTCTAACCATTCAATAATAAATTCATCAACACCACCACGTTCAAATAAATTTTGACCACTTTGTTTTAATAGTATATTACCCGTGTTACCAAGAGTACCATAAAGTATAATTGATACATTAGCATCTGTATTAACACCTGATACGTAACCTGTATGAAAAATAAATTTATAATTAATTGTACGACGAGTGTATTCTTGTACAACAGAATGTTCTTTTTTATTCACACAATCAAAAACATAACCGTCATTATTAATAGCAATCCATTGTTGTACTGGAAATTCATATCTTAATTTTTTTTGAAAACAAATAAAATAATTTTTTTCTAAATAATTAATTCTTACATGATGCCCGTCGATAAATCAGTTATACTAATGAGTGAAACATGCCACAGAGTTTGATCACCTTCATATGTTTTAAATAGATATTCATGTTGTTCTTCATGCCCGAGAATAATCCGACGTAATTCCCCAAGAGGTTGACATTCGAAGGTAAACATATCGATTTGTCCTCTATGGATTCTATTTCAATAAATAACATATTTAAAAAATGTTATTCTTACCGGCGTAAAATGTTTTTATGTAATGTATTTTTCATAAATAATTTGTCTGATTTTTTTTTATTTCCTTCAATAATAATCCATCCATCTTGTGTTGTTCCAGCATTTTGTTTATCTGAAGTAACAACTTCTATTTGATATAGAACTTGTCCATCTGATGTTAATGAATCATATTGACTTCCAAAATATGGATGATTACTAGAAAACAATTCCCGTACAATTTGTCGATCATCTTTTGTCGATGATAACCATTTATTACATGGAAACACATATATTTGTCCTGTTTGTAAATCCTCAATTTGTACATATTCTAAGTGCCAAGAACTTTTTAGTATTGATGAATCATCATGCCATATAAGTAATTTATTTAATTGGCCCAAGCTTAAAATATTTTCAAATGTAAATACATCTTCATGATTACGTTCAAATTTATTTATATGTGTTGAAGAATATTTTAATTCTAATTGTTCACTCTCACCATTTTCACCTAAAAAGAAAATAATTTATTCTGTAAATATTATAAATATTTATAAACCTGAAATAATAATAAATACATTGGCATCACAATTAGCATCATCCATATCACTTGTTTTCGTTATAACACGATAATTTGTTCGATGCATTGCTACTCTATTACCTTTTGTTATTGGTATATCTAGATAACAATCTGTTTGATGCCCTATCCAATCATTAAGCTCAAAAGAATATGTTTCTTCTCTTAAATTTTGTTTTGCATGTTTAATGAGTTCAATTTTTTCTAAATACCATTGATTTCGATCTTTTATAGATTTTGGCAATAGTTTAACACGTAATTTAATTGGTTTACCAACATCTTCTAATTCACACTAAATTTTAAAAAATGTAAAAAAATTCAAAAAACAAAATCTCTGCATCCTACTTGAAATACATCAATAGCTGATCGTTCAAAACTTCCTTCATGTTTTCTAATAATATGTTCCGATGATGAACCTATTGTACCAAATAATTTCAAACTAACATCACATTGAGAACCAGCATGTTCAATATGTCCTGTATAAATTCTTACAAAATATGGAATTACTAATACAAAAAAAAAACAACTAATAACTAAATATAATAAATAAATAAAATCTTACATGGACGACATGATGCTTTATTTAAATCTTGTACTCTAAGTATACGTTTAGTTCTTCGATCACCTTTATATTTTGATAACCATTCATTGCAAATAAAATAAAATGTTCGTCCTTTAGTTGGAGTTTCAACAATAACACCATCAAGAAACCAACTATCAGCTAATGTGTCACCATTATGTTCAATTTCAACCATTTCTACATCACCAATATCAGGTTCTTCTAATGAAAACGTTTCAATTTTTCCTGGTTCAAAACGTCGTCGTTGCATTACTTCTAATTGTATCATGCGCGTTTGGCGACCTTTGGAACCAATTAGACGAATAGATACATTTGCTGATGTACCAGCATCAGATGCTTCACCAGTTTTTATTTTAACAATATAAGGAATACATTCTTCAGTTGGACGAGCCACTACTTCTCTATTACTCATTAAACCTTTATAGTTCTTTTAAGAAAATAATAAATTATTATATTTACGAATAAACAAAACTTATTTTAAACAACACACCTTTTCATAAAGTATTCGTTCAATATTTGAATCTCCTTTATTCTTTGCTAACCATTGTTCACAATAAAACAGATATGTTTGTTTATCGTCTCCTCTAACTTCAATTTTTTCTAAAAACCAATCATCTAACACTCCACTATTATCATGTCGAATTTTTATTTTATAAATATATCCTAAATCATCACTTTCAATTATAAATTTATCGATTTGTTTTCTTTCAAATTTATTTTTATATGTTTGAGAATGTACTAATTCATGTTCACTTGTATAACCTTTATCTCCATAAATTGTTAGAAAAACATTTGCATCTGTACCAGCACCGCTTTTATCACCCGTAAAAACTTGTACAAGATAATTTACTTGAAATAAAATATTTTTCTATTTAATTAAAAAAAGCCTTTTATTTTACCTTTTCGATTGATTAACATGTGTCCATTCTCATTAGTTGGTAGAAATTCTCGAACAGTTTTTCTATCACTTTGACTTTTATCAAACCATTGTCGACATATAAACAAATACTCTTCAACATGTGGAGTTGATATCCTATTTCGTTTATCAAATGGTTCACTTGAATATCGTTGGATAAGTACCTAAATTAAAATATTTTTTAAATGGAAACATTAGAAAAAGTGAAATCTTACTTTTTCAAGATACCATCCAGATGACAATTTTTCTGAATAATGGCCTATTCGAATTTTTTCAATTTTTCCTACGTCAGCAGCTTCAATTATAAATTTATCAACCTCGAAGAAAATAAATTTTAGAAAATAAATTTTTTTTTTTAAATTGTTCCTACCGAATTTCTCTCAAATGAATTGAATTTATTTTCAAGGATAATTTCTTCTGTTTTACCATATAAACCATATATTTGAATAAATACTTTTGCATCAGTACCAGCTCCTACTTTGTCACCAGTACAAACTGTTATTTCATACGGAATGTCTATAACAAAATGTTATTTTTTACTTAAATCATATTTTAATATCAAATTCAATTTTTTTTATATTTACGTGTTTTAATTATGTCAGTTGGTTTTAAATCAAGCTCAATTCTTCCATCACCTTCCTTTGTGTCTAACCAACGATGACAGACAAATCTATTGTAATTAGAACATAAACACAAAACAAAAAGAGTCTTATTTTTTCAAACAAACCACTGTCTGATAAAATATATCAATTCGATTAGATAGCGGAGACTAATCATCAGAGATGTCGATCACGCCGTGCCGGCGGCAACTTTTTTTCTTTTAGAGAATATCTTACAGTAGCATCAATTTGCACATAGTTTCAGTGTCCACAAATTAAGCACTCTGGAAATCAATCAATCTCATGCGTTAGGAATGACAATTCTAGTTCAATATAATCTCAACATTGCAATTCAAAACAGGTTTTTTCAATACCATTGTAGCAGCGATGCCGTTGATTTTCTTTTCTATCGCCGACGAAGGTCTTCATGCGATAGATATGTTTGCTACTCACTAACTTGCTCTTTAGATTGTTTCTTGCCTTATATTATATTCTTTTTTAGATATATTTCATTGTATATTATTATTAATTTAGAAAATAACGATGACCTTACGAAAACAGATCCTTCATATAAAATTTACAAGGAAATATTTCTACGTGTCGACACCCTTTTTTCATCAGAGACTTAATGCATATTCTAGGCCTCAGTGAACTTTGTCTATCCTACAAAGAGTTCGGTTTTCGTGGTCTGTTTTTGACGAGATCAAAAGTTTTTCTTATTACAGGTGTAACAGTCATTTTATTAGGAAAAAAAAATCACTATATATTTTGTTCAGATATAGTTTTGCACAGGTGGAAGATAATACAAAAGTACGAATCCTTAGCATGACACAATGTCAAGTTGAAACTTTTAGAATAGTGAGCACTAATGTCGTAATATGATTAGTCAATTCTTCATAATTATAGCTTAACACAATAATATAAATATATTTGCTTTCGCATGCGAGTGTTGAATCGTGTTAAGAGGACATCCCTCCATTCCAAGTTTAGACTCAAAGTTTTCAAATGTTTTCTTCCAGCAGATCTTTGGAAGTCAAGAGCTTAGAATGTCCTGAAATTCGTACGCCCAACTTGCAAACATCCATTCTACGTTTTTTAGGGTCGAAATTGTTTCTGTGACAACTCGAAACAAAGCTCGATGCATGTTTTTTTTCTTCGAAAAATTTTGTTTCTGAAACTCACAAGAAGCAAAACGATGGAGGCACTGTCAAAAAAGCATTAGAAAAAGCTTTTATTCGGGTGGTAATAATTTTGTAAAATCTATCCAACTTCATAGCTATAGTATTTTTAAGAGAAGCAAAAAACAAGCACACCAATTTGATTAAAATACTCATTAAAATAGGTTTTTTGTCGAGTTTTCTTACATGCCAAAATTTGATTTTGCCTTTTTAAAATGTGCTCATTCATTAGAGAGCATTTAAATTTGCATACCAAGCATAGAAAATGAAAACGAAAAACAAATTCTAACATCAGGATAGAAGAATATATATATGTATATATATATAATGGTACCAAGCTATAGTTTCAACTTGGTATCTTGTAATTCTAAGAATTCATATTTTTTGTATTATCTTCCACATGCACAAAACTATATGCGAAGAAAATCTTAGGTTGTTTCAACTCAGATTGATGAAGATCAGTAGTTTGAAAATAATAGACAGTTTTGGTCAAGGGAAAAAATTGAATTTTCCTTGCTTCTATTTTTTCTTGACTGTCAGATAGTATATTTAAGTTTTTTCGGATAATATTACAGATCTCTGTCCTGAAACAGGATGAAAATCCTATGTTTTTGCCGGTAAATTAATCATGCTCAACGAAAAAACCTATATGAGAAATAATATAGAAAAGAAGAAATTTTCAAATTTAGACTACTCGTTCTATTCAAAAATATAAAAATACAAAGAGTGTTTGAGTCAAATTATTGTTTATTTCCTAAGGCAAACTATGTAATAACAGCGTTTAAATTAAACATTTTACCTGCTGTCATTACTGAAATATCGCGGTTTTGTTGTATTTTAGCAAAATCCATACATACGACCTCGGATTCTTTTTAAGCAAGAGTGTAGCTTCTCGGTACAACTAAATGAATCAACGTTGCCTCAATGAATGCGTCGTTTGATATCTCAAGACGTTTCTTTGCTAGTACAAAACGATTATTATGCAAGAAATTCTACAAAAAGAAGCTTTTGATTACAATCAACTTTTTTCTGTTGGGTTTTAGTCCAGTTAAATCACATGGACTGGACGAAATTTTTGGTGATAACTTTATGTTAGAATGCTGTGAAACAGTCTTGATGTTCATTAGTCTCAGCAGATTGGGATAAAAAAAGATTGCCATTAAATATAGCCACAAGATGGGCACTCTATGATTGTAAGATCTCCCCTTAAATCTCTCGAAAGATGTTTTGAAAGGTTTCCGAAGGTTCTAAAGCGTTTCAGTAATATTTTTGACTCTTATATTTGCTTTTCATCTGTAATCTGGTAGATGACAATCGACATAATGTACATGGAACATATAAATCTATTATATACGAGGTTTTACCTATAAATTTCTCTATGGCTTGGTACATGAATTTCAATCCAATCAAGAAACCATCCTGCATCATAACTTGTTCCATTATGTCCAATGCGTATATGTCCAATCTATTGATAATATTAAAATAGATTTTAATAAAAATAAAAACAAACAAACTTTGCCAAGATTATGACATTGAAATGTAAAACTATCGATACGTCCACGTTCAAATGTATTTATCGAATTATTAATTGTTTTCAGTTGGATTTTATCTGTTTCCGCTTTGTCACCAAATATTTGCAAATGTACATCGGCATGAGTACCAGCTTGAAAAATATCGCCAGTTTTTATTTTAACATTATATGTTGTCTCTTGTAAATCTTTTGTTGGTGTTAATTCACGAACAATTTGTCCATCATCTTCGTAGATAGCAAACCATCTAAAACTTAGATTTTTATTTATTAAAAAAAAACTTATTTTGTTAAATACCTATCGCAAATAAATGTAACTGGTCCATAACGTTGATCTTCTGATCGAATGACAACTTTATTTAAAAACCATTTAGAAGCTGTTCCTATTTAATGATTACATGAATAAGTTAAAAAAAAGGATTATTTTATTAAGATAGCTAACCAGTACCATCATGACCAATTCGAATTTTTTGTATTTGCTTTAATAAAACAGCCTCAATAATAAAACTATCGACCTATAAAAAGATATTTTAAATAAATGTTTTAAAATTTATTTTTACTTGGTTTCTTTCGAATTTATTTTTATTTTGTAATGAATATTCTAATGGGCGTACTAGAAAAAAAAACATTTTCATTAGAAACTTATTAAATTCAAATCTGATATAGAATAACCTCCTGTATCACCACATTCACCGTAAATATTAATAAAAACATTTGCATCTGTACCAGCATTAGGTTTATTTCCTGTATATACATCAACTATATATTTAATAATAGGTAAAGATCTCGATATTCCTGGTCCTTCAGCTGGTAACTCTCTAATAATTTGTTTTTCATCTTCTATTTTCGATAACCATCTTCCACAAAGAAATCTATATTGTTCATTTGTTTTAAGATTTGTCATTTCAATCTAAATATTTCATAAGATAAAATAAAATAAAATAAAATTTCTTTTTCATTTTGCTTTTAATACTCGATCAAGATGCCATGAATGAGATAAACTTTTATTATTAAGACTAACACGTAATTTAAATGGTATACCAACATCATTCATATCAACTTTATATTGATTACAATGACCTTGTTGTAATGTATCTGAATTCTTTTCTAATTTAATATTTATTGATTTTCCATAATTACCATAAAGGACAAGAATTACTTGACCATTTGTACCGGCTCCTTTCTTATCACTTGTATAAACCCATATATACCATGGAACAGCTAAATAAAGAAAAGAAAATTGACAAAAAATAATCTTTAAATTATTTACTTGGTGGGCGAGTTTTACGTAATGATAAATCTTCTTTTAATCGACGTTCAATATGTCTATCACCTTCATCATCAGCTAACCAATTATTGCAGGGAAATGTTTGTTTAATACCTATACTTGGACATTCAACAACAACCTGAAATGTTTTAGAGGAAAATTTTTGCATTCGATCTTAGTTATCATTGAAAACTGATACAGTCTTATTAAATTATAATGGCGAAGTTATTGGACAGCTTTCTGTCTTATTATATTCTTCACTTGAAGATCTGTAATAGATCATTAGATATGCCTGACAATCTGTTTTTCTTCTTAAAATTTCTTTTGGAAATTTATTCTTCTAAGCGAAAGTCATTGATCATCATCTTTTTTTAGCTTAATGCCATTTCATCGGGCTAATTTAAATCTTATTATTCTTTTGGAGTCTAGGCCATCATTGGATCTTTTTCACTTAATTTAGATATGATAAATAATGGTTTGAGAAAAGTAGGTCCGTTTATACCTCTGTTTCATCTTTTTTATAGAGTACAAGCAACACAAAATCTATACATTACAAATATCCATCTTACATAAATATAATAGAATATTCAAATAAAAACAAATCCGATGTGTAAATAAAAACATTCTTTCCACATAAGAAGCAAATTTAAGATCAGCCTTCAGTGTCAACTATTGTTATTGTTCTTCATATTAACAATATTTGCTATAACGTTTTTCTACAGTGACTCCTTGCAAAAACACGTTAGCAGGGCAGAATAGTCCTGCTCCTTTGACTATTTCTGGCATTTGATGGTGTATTTAGATTTGTCGCAAAATCAGGTTTCTTATCAAAACATACAGTAATTTATTAATGATTACGTCGTTTTATAATCTTTGACTATTTTCCCTCTAACTTTCAGATATAAATTTTTCTGTTAATCTTGTACTAATGATTTTGATAAATTACATATTCTTAAACAATCTGAACAAACCTTATCAAGATACCATGCAGGTCCAACCCCACTATTATCATGACCAATATCTAATGCTGTTAATGGACTAAGATCACTGGAAGCATCAGTTGTGAATTTATCGACAGAGTTTTTCTCGAATTTTCCATCGCACAGAAATATTTGACTTGATGATGAATTCTTACCATGCATAACTATATAAACTCGTGCATCCGTGCCAGCATTTTTTTTATCACCCGTATAAACTGTTATATTATATGAAACACCTAAAAAAACAGAAATACATCCATTTACTCTCTATCATCACATTTCACTTCAATAATGATAATCAAACAGAACATTTCTTTCTTTTTGTTCTTAATGTGAAACTTTATTTACCTGCTGTTGGTTCTTTCTCATGATCAATTGGTTTTTTTGGAAAAAGAAAACGAGATATTTCTTTATCATCTTCATCTTTCGCTAGCCATCTATTACATGGAAATTCATATATATGATGTGCATTAACATCTTCAATTAGTATTTGATCCAAAAACCAACCAGGTGCTAAACCTTTATTATTATGTGCGATTAAAATTTTATTTATTTCACCAATATTTGGACATTCAATTGTAAATTCATCTTTTCTATTAAAAAAGAAAACTTTTTTTGATCATAGAAAATATTTTCCAAATCTTACTTTCCAGCTTCAAAACTATTTTTTTTACTTTCAAGCTTGATCGCACCTGTTTCAGATAAATTGCCATAAAGAGTAATGAAAACATCAGCATCAGTTCCAGCGCCGGTCTTTTTTCCAGTAAAAACTGTTAATGATCATTCGTAAATCACTTGGTCCTTTGTGAATACGCTTGAAATTCTGTATCGATTAGATCTCACTCTTTGTGAAAATATTGCGAGATAAATGTACGCAAACCCGTGAAATACCACTTTACACGGGCTCTAGCTAGCCTTCGGTAAAAAGTGAACGAGAGTCGATTTTATCAATCGTTTTCCATGTTGTACAGAATTGAAAGATGCAAAACTCTGGTAGATACAGCGAAAAAGTGAGAAAGAGGTTTGCTCCCTGTTTATGGCATCCGATGATAAATTCTTCTTCATCGAATATAGCTATTGAAAACATTGCCAAACTTGCAACACATGAAGAATCAAAATTTTGAAGAACGAAATATCGAAGAAAAAAACGCTGAAATAAAAACATGGAAAAGTAAAAAGCTCGAAGGAGTAGAAGCTCGAAAGGAGAATATCTAAAATGTAGGATATTCACATAGTCTATCAGGTTTCTCGGTCGAATAGAAGAAGATTTAAAAGAAACAAATAGGCTACGTGTTTGAGTCATATTTGCTCTTTAGCATAGATTAGGAATTTTTGATATTTTCTACTTTCAATTTGTTCCTCCCACTTTTCGAATTTCGACGTTTTCTTTTTAAGGTTTTGGCGTTCTATATTTTTCTACCGAACCGAAAACATGCTCTTCCAGAATCGTGTCCTGGATTATTCAATCGAAAGAAGGATGAGAATACCAGCCGCTATCTATCTATTTTCTTGCCGCTTGTTGTGTGCGGGTGTTTATCAAGGACGAAATATGTCACTTATACCTTGAACTACCCTGAAGTGGCTAAAGTCTTCGAGATTTCTTAAAATAGATAAAGTGTGTTGAAATAGATTAAAGCACATGAACTATGAAGTAAGATGATTTCTCCCTGGGCGTGGCCATTCGTTACGGAATTTCAATTTTGAATCTTCTAAGATCCATTTTTTCGTAGTAACAGAAGTAAACGCTCTGAAATTTCTACTAGTAGTAGAGGCTCTCGTGATTAACTATAGGTATGATTTCTTTAAATTTTTGTTGAAGTCCGTCAAAGCTATAGAAAAAATACTAGCCGTTACGGAATTTCATAAAATGGAATTTTTTTAAAGAGACANCAAAAAAACAGTCAAGTTGAACTAATAGAACTTCGTTGTAAACAAAAAGAATAATTCCTTTCACTGTAAAAATAGAGAATAGTAGTCTATAAATATGTAGTTTATTGTAATAATATATACTTACAATTACAGCATGATGTTATGCGTAATTGTCGTCGTGACAAGAGAATAACGTTGAGTAAACAACCTGGAACACCAAATAGAATCCATGCTGAGCAAACATAACGAATTAATTGTTGTTGAACAAAGACCAGTGTTGTACCGATCATTGATGAAGCCATTCTTATGGATGCAAAAAGAATCTTGTAGCTTTTCTATTCCTTTCTGTTTGTTTTTAAACTCTAGCTACGCAGAAAACACCGTTGTATATAATTTCAAAAAGATATTATTTCGCCCTAGTCTAATTGAAAAAAATGTCAGATTAGATTAGCATAGATAATGAATCTATGAACAGATGTATGACAAAGTAATTAAAAAAGACAAAAAAAAGAGAAAATACTTCATACTATTTTTTTCATACTATAAGTCATACGAGTGATAGTGAGCGGACAATCTTTTTTGCTTTTCCTATAAATATGCTTCTTTAGTCGCTCCACCTAAGATTCTCTGTGAGCCTTTATTCTATATATCCAATTTTTCTTCATTTGACAGAGTCATTTTTTGAATTAAGCCTTGATACAATTATATAAGAGAGAGCTTTTATAATTGAAGAGCAAACAGAAAAATAAATAGTTTGTTTAATAAAGAGCACTATGACATTACTTATACATGATTATATAGAATGAAGACACAGAGAGATTTTTGGGTTGCTAAATGAGCTAATTTCGACTCTTGCTTATTGAATACGTGTCGAAAACGTCATGGCATAGGACTGAAAATTTCAAACGATTTGAATATACCTAACCTAAGAGATCGGTTTTTTTGAAGAGAAGCGAGGTGCCTTAAATCGTGTTGCTTACATTCGATTAATACGACTGCCAATTACCCAATTTTTCCTACTGAGCATATAAATTCAAAGTTTAGTGGTCAATCTCGCTACTATTTTCTCTTCGATTTCTGTTCATTTACGATACTTAATAATTTTTGTCTTGTTTCATTCTATGATTTTTTTAGTTGCTTATGGCTTTTTTTCTTCTCGTGTTTTCGATAGTAGGCTCATAGTGACTTGATGAACTCTTAGCGACGCTATGATAATCCCTTGGGAGAAACGAGGGTCAACCCACTGCTTTTGTCACAGCCCGATCATTCATAAAAGTCAGAGTGATGCTTTTTGTACAATAGTTTTCATACCCACACGCTTATTTTCACAAGTTCCTTGATGAGTATGAATCTGAGAGCAAAAGATATCAGGTGGGTGTAGGTATGGATAAGCGTGTAAGTATTGATGTTAGTTTTCTCTTCATCTTCGCCCATAGTCACACCCTCAAGTGTCGCTTTTCTATACACGACAGCATATTATCTATCGAAGCTTCCACCTGAATACGATAGTTAGTCTCTATTAAATTTATTCAAATACACCATGGATTATAGTTTTCAAAAATTTTATTCGTATATGGCTGTCAATCGTGAATAATCAATTAACTACTGACGATTATACTTTTGATGGAATGTCATAAACCTTGATAACCACCCAAAAAACAGCTATTTGATTATTTTTCAGCAAGATATATTTTATGAGCCACTTCAATAAGAAAACTATTTCTTTTCTTGAGAGTGTAGCAGCGCAGTTAGCGTACAAACATGTTTGTGCATGTTTTTCGTAGCTTGTCAAGCAAAGAGCTTTATCTTATCGAAGTTTTTATGAAGGGCTCGTGATTTATATGGTGGGTATACAAGCTGAAAGGAAGAGTGCAAATAAAAAAAAAGAGTCAGAAAAAGGAAGAAAACATAACACTCCCGCTTTGGTGCGACAGAAATTTGCTTCCAGGAATCAAGAAAGATACCGCTATGGGTTGCAAGCAAGCAAAAATTCACGTAATCACTCAGAGTGACGTAAGACAATCGAATGATATTGAGTTTCCAGTATCCGAAAGATTTATTATCGCGGCAGACGCATCTCAAATGCTGAAGACAGAATATGATACCATTGGAAAGTTTGCATCGAAACAATCAAGCAGAAAACTTGACGAGTGCAAGTCAATCAACGAGTCTGGATCTGAATGTTTACACAAAGTAGATGAGGAGCGTTTCCCACTAGATGAAATCATACCTGATCGATCGGCAAAACTAACTAAGGAACGTATGACGCGTGATGAGTGCGGATCTAAACGCTCACGCAAAATAGATGATGGGAACATACAACGAAAAGTAGAATCTCCGGATATTGATCTTTTTCCGGTCGACAAAGAAGTGTTCGCAGTAACTGTATGTTAACAGCGACAAGCTGCTATCGACAATATGTCATATCGGCGAACTATTGATCGATGACAACCAGAGCCATTCGAACAGCTGATCGGCTTTATTCAAAATCTGTCTGTGAACAAAAATGCAATTGATAAAGCATGGATTACTTTCTATTGAATCTCTAAGAGTGTTCGATATGATACAAAAGCTTACTTTTGCAATAACATTGATTCACAAGCGTTCAAAAATGTATTTCTTAGTCGAAAAGCAGGTAAAGGGATACGGGTTTAATCCTCGCCAAACGAGCTTTAAAAAGACAGATCATGCATGAAATATACTCTCGTTGAATAGTAGACACTCTTACTTTATTGAATCTGCCTGGGATTCAGGCTATTTAGACGCTTATACCCATCAATAAAGAGCAAAATTGGTGCATCATTACTTCTTCTGCCGACCTGAACATATGATCTATGGACATTTCCCGGAAGATCCTCAATGGCAACTGCTTGAACACCCATTAACAATGAAACAATACCTCATGCTACCACGCACACACGAAGACTTTTTTAAACTCAATCTAAAGATTGTATCCCCCGTCTATACACACAAGATCGCTCCTAAGGCAGGACAATCGTATGGGGAGATACTTATTCCAATGCCAATTAATGATGTTGAACTATCTGGATCGTTACACGATGAATCGAATATAGAAATTGAAGGTGGTGATTTTGTGTATTTTGATCATGATTGAAATTTGTGGCGATGTCGTTTTGCTCCACAAAAAGTCGGTAATCACACAATTTTAATATTTGGTCGTAAGAAAAGTAATGCGAACAAATCGACTTCGAGTTGCACTGTCGAGTTCATCTTTGATATTGATCACCCTCCTGCAACACCCATATCATATCCTGTCACATGGTCACATTTTTTCGATTATCATCTTGAAATTGTCAAGCCAGTCAATACTCGTTATATTGATTGACCGTCAGACAAGAACTTTCCCTACTGTGAAATTCTTGTTCGTTCTTCGGATGATGTTCACCTCTCGGCAACGATAGCAGATAGTATCACTGACAAAGACATAAAAAAGGGAACATTGGTGAATTTTAATAGTCAACAATCGCTCTGGCAATGCCTCTTTGCTCCATCTACTAGTGGTGCGTTATATAAATTAACATTATTTGCTCAGCATGTCAGCGACAATCAACCTCATTGTGTTGCTCAATTCCATTTGCAACAAATCCATAAGTCAACACTGGAAAACTACAGCTGTTTTCCATCTCTCTACAGATCTTTTGATGAAGCAAAATGTCATTTGTTTGAACTACTTGATGGAATACTAAAACACGGATCAAATACACGATTTCGTTGTCGAATTCCTGGTGCTCATGAGGTGAATATAACCATCGATGGGCAATGGTTAAAAGGTGATTCAACACCATACATGCACGAGAATCATTTATTCCAATGTGAAATTCAAGTGGGACAGAAGGAGGTGACTGTATGAGTGAAATTCAACAAGCAAAAGTCGAACTATACAGGATTGTTAAAGTATGCCGTCAAATAATGTAAACAAATGATAATACTCCCTAATAAATTGCGTACATTCAAAAGATCTACATTTTTATCCATTGACTAATGAGATTGCACATGAGAGATGACACTGTAAATAGATTTGTGTGTGGATCTTCTATGCGAATGTGGGTGTATGGATGTTATCGACAGACAATAATCACTATCGTTTCCAAGTTTCGTCCTACATATTGAAGTCATTCATTGATTGACCAAAGATTTTGAGAGATCATAGAATGCAGATGATGAATCTATTTCAAAGTTTTTCGTACACAATTTCAAGATCATCTTTGAATATTTAAATATTTTTCCTTTATTGTGATGAGCAACACTGTGAAATAAGGCATGTCAATAAAGCTCTCCTATAATATGATTGAAATACAAGTTGTTTTTCTATCAAGTTTTGTGAGCATGACATGGAATGTTCTCAAGAACGCTCTAACAGATTACTTGAACAAATCTTCCCAAATAATGAAAGCATCTAAACTCTAGTCGGTTGACGAGATACTCGTGCAATCGCTAGTTTGTCTTACGAGAATTGAAATATTTTGATGTTAAAAAAACATTCAGTATTGACACTTCGCATAATACATATGTGAATGTGTTTCTAAATTTTTCATATGAATTCAGCTATTCATCGATGTGGCTTTACTTCACTTTTTTTTTAAATGAGAAGTCGTATTCATTCTGATTCACATGATGTTCTATACGTTTTTTTGACAGACTGAAAACCGATTCACAGTTGTTCTACATGTTGCATAGAAATTAATACGTTCTGTAAAGTATAATATTCTCATAGAATAAATGTCCAGATTAAAGATGAATTTTATTTTAAATCAAAAAATATTTTCTACATAGTAATGAAAGTCTTTTTAAATGCTTTTACAGAGTATAGAAATATATCTACACCCTTGGATTTATCGATTTAATGCCATCTTCTTGAATATCAAATTGCCATTCCTTCTCGTGTATTTCGACTAAACCTTGATATGGCCATTTCAGTTCCAGAGTTTTTCCATCAACTGTGTCAGCCTGAATTTTATAGATATGCTTATCAATGATGAGATGTGCATTGAGATAGGCACGTGTTTCAGCAAAGAAGTGACCACCGTTTGGTTCCAATTTATTCATATGTATTATCTCGTGTTCATGATGTTGATTTTCACCACAGTAGAAAATTTTCAGGTTGATCGGGTGAGGTGTACGATTGTAGATATGAGCTGAATGGACATAGTATTTTTGTTTTAACGGCATATTATCTAGAGAAATATTGTATATCTATTTTCGTATAACTAGCTGTAGAAGAAGCACAAGAAAAAAATGATAGTTCTGTAGTGCGTAAAAAACAATGTTTGGAGTGTATAACGGTTGTAGGAAGAAAAAAGGAAAATAGTGTGGTTCTGTGCACTGCTGAGAAGAGGAAAAAAAGATCTTTTCTTTCGTTCTGTAATATTGTATATGAGATGAAAGAGAAGTCTTTTTTTACGCTGCTAGCGTGTAAGACAAGTAAGAAATATGTAGATACTATCATCTTTGGTATAGACGAGTCAGCTGCGAAAAGAGAGCAGTATTACAGCGTCTTTTGACTACAGGTTTGACATAGCCCATGGGGCATATCAACATAGCATTTTGCATTTACAAAAAGTGTACACAAACTTTTTCCGAACTATTTATCGGCAGCAATGTACTTTTGGAACAACGAGAGATCACTGATGAACTGTATGAATATTGTAGCAATCAGCTCAAGAAATCTAATGAACATGTTGAGCTATTTGAATCACTTTACCTTCTTACATCGTTTTATACATTTGAAGTCCAACTGAATATTTTTGTTATGCCTTGCAAAGTAATTGATAATTGATTTAGATTTGACGCAACAGATTTTATCCAACACAGTAGACGAATGATGGCATGCATGTTAACATTGAAATCCATGTAGAATTAATTTTTGTCAATACGTAGCTTCTATCACCTTAGATCTTGTTCTGAAGAAACCCTACAAGATCCGAGCCATCGTATGACTCTTGAATAGTCTCAAAAATGTGGTTTATATCTTTTTACAAGCACTAAAGCACAAATTTATGATGACGATCTGCGCAGAAATGATCAATGATGATTCTCGGCGATGATTATTATAGAATCCAGATGGGTAGAAAAACAGTCAGCTGCGATCGTCTTTTGTGAAACTATTTAAAATCACTATTGGATATCGAATTATGTATCTCGTTAACTGTCGTATCATGTATTTTGCATAGACAAAGTCATGTTCTGAACTATTCTTCGTCTCAATTCTAAAACAACATATCTACTTTGTCTCTTCAGCTCTTTGTTAATGTTCGATGACATTTGTCAATGTAATGCATTTTTTTTATCGCATCGAAGAAGAACTATTGATTATAAATAAATCTAATTGAGAAGACCATCGATGATGACATGTATAGTTCTTCTGGAATCATATTACTTTCAAAAATTTTCTAAGAATAGAGTCAGATGCATATAAAACGCAACAATCTATAAATGATGCATTGATTCTTAATTCTTTATCTATGCTTGTTGGAAGGATGAGAATGACAATACACGAAAGATTCTTGTCCTCATTCCGAACCCTTAGTCTCTATTCTTTTTTGGTATTTCACTAAACAGACACCATTCGATCAATAACTCGTCTTTCAAGTTCGCTGTATTCTACAAAAGTTCATGGTTTGAATAAAACCTTTTTCGTTATTTTTTTTACTTCAAAAGTTTTACTACTCTACTTTTTATTATTTCTAAAAGATGATGAGAGAGAAAAAAATGATAAATTTAATGAACACATATGCGTTAGAAAGGTCATAGAACAATATAAAACACACTGATTGACATGCGTAGCAGAAGTTTTCTGTTTTCCAACATATTTTTAAAAAGTAGATACTACTTCGAAGAACATACATTATTTTAATAGATGATGAATAAGAGTAAAATATCAGACATTAATGTTATGGATAATGACAGATTATGAAAGTCAAACTAAAGACGACAATGCAACACTACAGTATCATTCTGATATCATTTACACTACGTAGTAGTAAGTGTCACAGTTTTTTTAACTACACATAAGAATATATGGTTAGCTCATGAAAATAAAAGCATTGCGCTTTAAGGTAAACGATGAGCATGAGATATACTTTCAACTAAGTCATTATGTGAAAAAGAGTATGAGATCTTCGTCGAATCGAATTGTGAACTAATGTTGAGAAATTAGAATATGATTCGAAATCATTTTATTAATATTTTATCTAATATATGTTCAACGCTTTTAAATAATCTAATGTTCCTTGGCTTTTGTATCTTTTCAAATGAAATTTTTATCTGTGAATTCAATTTAAATTTTAACGATTTTACTACACCTACCATTAGTTCTGTGGATAGAATACATTCTGTATCGATATTTAAAGAACAAATAGTTGCTATACTTTCTATTAGACCATGATTCTCATTTACGAAAAATTTGCGAAGTAAATTCTACATGAAAATGATTGTTTATCAAAACACACGTTGGTTATCACGTGATTTTGACAATCACATTGAAATTTTCCCTGAACAGGGATGTATTGTAATGTTGGATGTTAACTGAGAAATTTTCTACGTTTGATAATGTTCAAATCGAATCATTTTCTTATTACGATCCTAATTAGACTTTAGAACATCATTTTTCTGACGATTTTTTAACTACGGTAGAGTCATCTGGGGTAATTCGGATCACTCCAGCAAAAATGACAGTACGTTATTTTTCCATCTCATAACTCTTTTCTTATTGATTTCTATGAAATCAGAAATATACCATTTGATAGCCCAAGATGTCTTCTATGGGACCTGAAAATATCTCGGTCAATCGATGCACGCTTGTAACGCAACATTCATGACACTGACACCAGTGTTTTCATGTTGAAAACTTCTCTGGGATAATTCGGATCACCCCAAACTTCTTTACTAATTATCTATTCTGAAATTCCTGTGACTAGTGATTCTGAAAGAGAACTTTTTTCTCCTAATTTTGTCATAATTTTGAATGAAAAAAGATTGAAATTTAGATGACATCCATAAAAAATTATACTACCTCCTAAAATCATTGAAAAATGTGTTCTTATGGCAGGGTTCCATTCTTTCACAAAATAGTTCAAATCTGTAGTAGACATTAAGGGGAAAAGCTTTAATACGTCTAATTCACAACTGTTTGGACTACAAAATGATATAAAGACATCTATGAAAAAACACTCCCCGCTTCACAAAAGTCAATGCATATTGGTTTTCTGACATGATTTAATGATTTTTAGCCTGATATTTCGAAAAACTTGATTCGAAAAATCAGAATTTAACAAAACCAATCTGCTATTCTGAATCGGCATAAAAAACTAAGTCGATCCGTGTAAATTTCATATACTTTCGAGAACTCCTTTTTCCGTCTCAAAATTTACCCTGGTCCCCCTCAGGAATTAAGTCAAAAAATGAATATGATAAAAATGTTGTTAAAAGAAAGGAAATCGGATTCAACTGGGGCTGTGGGTGTGGGAGGGTGTGAGGGTGGCTGTGGCTGTGTAGAAACGTTGCCTTCTGTGATCAATAGCACATCCACATCCGTATGGGCCTTCACTTCTTCCGTACCCACCCATTTCCACGACAGAATAGTTGGGCATGTATTATTCGTTTTATACTTTGTGTGTTTTGGTAGCTTTCGCGATTTGCTTAGTATAAGGTCTCTCATAAGGATGCAAAACATCAACAAAAGTGTCGTAGATCAACTGAGAACCTTTTCTCATCAGCGTTGCTTGTAATACTTTTGATAGGTGAAGCAAAAACTTCAAACAGTATTGAACAAATGTTGAACGAGATATAATTCTTTGTATGAGCATACTCGAGTACGGAATCAATACGCATTATTCGGAAGTACAAAATAATTGTACATACGTATAATATACGAGTTAAGAAAGTTTTGCATTATTATTGTAAAAAATGACATAACTAAGAAAAGAATAAATTAGCGTTGACGAATAGCCGAATTCGAAATGCGTGTTTTACATTCTTCTGATTTCAAGTCTTCATATTCTGGTATTTTAGGTAGATTTATCAATTTAAAATTGCCTGCCACACCAGCCACAATAGAACGTGGAGCATCGTTAAAGAATTTTTGCCATTGAACTACTGATTCCTGTGTCCATTTCAGCTCCTTTAACCATTTTCCAAGTTTTGCATAGTCAAATGTTGACCTTTACACAATAATATTAGAAAAAGTAACTAAGTTGAAAAGATAAAGCCTCTAGACTTACTCAGAACTATTCATTACTTTTTCCCATGCTTCTTGAGAATTGAATGACAGACAAGTATAAAAGTTTTTCAAACGAGGATAATAAAGGAAGTAATGTAGGCACATTTCGTCTTTCGTTCTTTCACCACCCTAAATATATAGTTATATTTATAAAACAAACTTATTTTTACTCGACTATTTTACTAAAGTTATATCAGCTTTGTTTGTTGTACTGTAAATACATCGAGTAGCTATTTCATCACCCTATAACCAATATACAATAATACAAGAAAAAAGACAATAGAATAGAAAAAAATCTTATACTGGATATAATTCAATTGGTTTTGGTAAAAGATTTTCAAATTGATAATTGAAATTATATGCTTCAGCATTAAACAAATATTCAGTCACTTTTTTATTTCGAATTAGCTTTGTCCACATACTAAGACCTTTTTATGAAAATAATTTATTGTATCTATAGAAGTTTTGGCCCTACCTTGTAAATGTGTGTGCGGAAATGCAGCAAGAACTGTTATAATCGGTTCAGAAAAATTCTAAAATATATATGAGTTTACTTTCTATATAAAAACGAAGATTCTACTTACTTGTGTGACTTCAGCTGGACAATAGGAATCGAGTATAAATCGATCAGTTTCTGGTGGAATAGCAATTGCGGAATGAGTTATATCAGCACCAAGTGTAAGATAACCAAATTCATATTGACGAAGTTCTTTTCCAAGATAAAATCTGACACCTGAATTATCACGACGATCTAAATCAAATAAGATATGGTGATAGGTCGTAATCTAGATTCGATAATATTCTATACTAGGTATTAGTTTTGGATTATCATAATGCATTTGAAACATATAATATTTTATCTCAAAATCGCCACCTATTGGATATCCACCAATCTCTGGATATTCCACTATCTATGAAGACGAGATTTTTCTGTGAGTAGATATTTAATTTGGAAAATTTACTTCATCACCACCAACAGCCCATACACTAGCAATACTTGCAATGCATGGAAAAATACTTTCAATAACATCATCACATATACCATCTGGCAAATTGTTATCATCGAATACAGCTGTAGGATTACATTCTGACAACACTAAATGATGAACAATATCTCGATTATTTGGATCAACTATTGTTTTACGCTAAAAAGGAGAAAATGGTTAGAAGGTTATTGGAAAATATTCTTAGGGCGACTTCTCCACTTTCAGTCGTCTTAATGAAAACTTTTCCGACTTTTTGTATTTTATTGATAATGCCACTTCGAAGTGTCCTCTATCATATGCCACATCAATGAAGAGTCTTAGTTGGTAATTCGTCCATTTGCAACTTCTTAATTATTATGATTATTTTCTCATTCCAGAGATGCATAGAGCATAGATCATGGACGCTTCAAATCGCTGAACACAGCCAGTGTTCGGTCACTTCAGTTGAAGAAAACATTTCTGATGCATACAGAAAAAATTCTTTTTCCACTTTTGTCGAAATCAATTTTTACAGAAAAATGGCAGAATCGCTACTCTTGCCCCTTTTTGTTATCCGACATAGTAAGTTCGATCGAGCTGCATCTTTTTTAAAGGTCCTATACACTGTCTTGGGGAGTGGTGTCATAATCCCGTTACACTCGGTATCCTCATTTGCTTTTAATGTAGTCTCCGGGTATTGACATTTAAACTATAGCTATATGTTATAAAGTTGAGGAATTTGAGTGAATTTGGGGTATTGAGGTCGTTACCCCAAATTCACTCAAATTCCTCAATTTTAAAAACATGTAATTCATTTATGGAGTAAGGAAGTCATTATCCCTATGCGCAAGTTTCATCCNACGATTGAAAAATCAGAAGATGTGAGTATGGGTAGGCGTGGGCGTGGGCGTGGGCGTGGGCGTGGGCGTGGGCGTGGGCGTGGGCGTGGGCGTGGGCGTGGGCGTGGGCGTGGGCGTGGGTGTAGATTTCTGTTAATTCCACTTTCACACCCACATCCAACCAAATCCACACCCTTCTTTATACTTCTCAGTATTTCTGTACTTCTTCGTACTTCAAAAGCATAGAACCATGCTTTTCCTCCTTGGAACAAAGAAACAAATGCACGACAATTATAAATTATAGATATAGTGTAATTTCATTATGAGTTATTGCGAAAATCACACACATTATGTTTGAATGAATGCCTATAGCTAGATGATTTTCCAATGCTCTAGAAAATTAATCCGAATTCAACTGTCATCTTCTAATTTCTTGGATTTAATACATTAAGTTTAAATGAGATATGCTGTGCACGATTTTCAATGGATAAGATTTGAGTGGATCTGATTGCCTTTTTTTCTATAGAGATCTTTATAAGAATTGTTGAGATTCATCCATGTCAATGTAGTTAGATAAGATCAAGAGATGAACATAATGAAGATGCCAGCAAGATGGTAGAAAATCGATTCATTAAACCTTATAGTAATCGAATGCAGAGTTTTATTATGAATTAATTAAGTTCGTAGTATTGATTGTTAATATCGTTCTATGATATTATTCAGATCACTTCGACGGCGCTACTACGTTCTCTTTTCAATTCAGTCATCTCAGATTGAAGCTCAAAAATATATTTTACAATTTCTGAAGCCACGCTGACTTATTTCGCTAGATTTACGGGATTTGTTACATTTTTCACTAAGAGAAAATTACAGTGGAACATTACTGTTGCTTACTGTTTAGTATGAAAGTCAATTGATGTTAACCTGCTTCATTCTAATGAAGTCATTTTAGCTTTGTATGATTTAACTATAAATGTTTTAAAACAATTTTAGCAAATGATTGAAAGAAGAAAAAAAAATGCTATAACATCTCTTTTCTAACTGTACAATTATAATGCCATGAACTCATGATTTCATCACTGAAATTACATTATTTAATGATCATAAGGAATAATACCTTAAGTTGAACAGAAAGATATTGGTAAATTAATCAATAAGATTAAACGAATTGTTTTAGTTTGAAATTATTGTTATCATATCGATAACCATTATATGGAGCATAATATAATGACAAACCGTTTAAAAAAATGTGTTTCAGACAAACTTGTAGACTTTTGTATTTTCGATTCTAAACCTTAGCATCCTTATCAAAAAGCATTATATATATATATATCATAAGAGAAACATAATATGAAAACTAATTACTCTAATAAGTAAGTCTAATTACAGTTTTTTCAGAAGACTTATGCATCAAACTTAATTGTAACGCCAACATGCTTAGGCCTGATTGTCAATTTTTGCAAATGTCCACCAGCATTGACTTCAGGTCCACCATCTTCAAATGTTACATGTTGCATTAACTTAGCAAGAATCACTTTCAATTCAAATCGAGCTAAATCTTGTCCAATACATTGACGATGACCAGCACCAAATGGCAAAAATGCATATGGATGATGATTTTTATCTTCATCTAAAAATCGCTCTGGATAGAATAATTCCGGATCAACTTTCCAATATCGACTATCACGAGTAAGAATAGAAAGTGGAATAATCACTTGGTCACCTTTGTATAATTGAACACCACTATTCGGTAAGCGATCATCAGCAGTTAATGTTCGAGCTGTTCCGTCAGCAGGTGGAGAAAAACGAAGTATTTCTTTGATAACACAATCCAAATAAACAAGTGAATCGAGACGATCCACAGTTAGTATTTGATTAACATTGCCATTGATTAATTCAGCTTTAATCTTTTGTTGAACTTGTGGATGTTTACTTAATAAATGAATAGACCATGCCAAAGCAGTGGATGTTGTTTCAAAACCAGCAATCAAAAACATTAGCATTTCGTCCAATACTTCTTTTCGTGATAGGCCTATCAATTATAGAGCAAATTCAATAAATTTCTCATTTACATACTAAAAAAAAATGATATATCTTCTAAGGTAAAAATTAAGTCAAATAGAATATAACACATCACAATAGATCAAAAAATGTTTGTTCTATTAATTGAACACCAGCTATTGTTTTTTATATTTGAAAAGGGAAACTATTTATTGGAAATTATATTTTACCTTTTTTCTCTTCTTCACTTTTTTTTGCTTCAGCTTTTTCATCAGTTTGTAATGAATCAACAAGTGAAGCAATTAAAGATGTTTTCTTTCGTAGAGCTCTTGATTCAGCAGTTTCATTTAATTCGTGTTCTATCATTCGATATAAATATCGTTCAGCGGTTGCACGATCTTGTCGATATTGAGAACTTAATATTGCATAGATTCTTAAGATAAAACTAGGTAAAAAAGCTGTTAGTTCAACCGCATTGGTAAAGTTTCTTAGAGCCTGTGTAAACTCGTTAGTATTGCTTCCATTTATCGTTTCCAAATCATAATCAAATGCAATTAATCCAAAAATTTGAAGTAAAAGATTTTGACATTGCTGTACAATATCACAATGTATGTGCTCATTTGAAAATGTACGCCAATTGTCCAATAATTTCTCAGTACAATCGATAATTGAATCGAAATTTGAAATAATTTTAGCTCGACGAAATAGGGGTATCGTGACTGCAGCATGTCGTTTGTGTTTAGCTCCTAGATATTGTCAAATACGAGATTATTCAAATAAAATGTATAAAAAACCGACCTTTTAGAGTAATGAGGCCATTTGGAAAAAGAGCGCCTACTAGTTCTACGGCCCAATCACCTTGATCATAAATATGTCGATGATTCAAAATATGTTGAATATCGTCGATATTACCGATAATGAAAGCATGAACCAACCCAAATTGAAGTTGATAAATATCACCGAAACGATTTTTCAGCGATGTATATATTTGAGGAAGAGAAGTTCCTTTTAATAATCCAGTTTGAAGCAAATTGCCAAATAAAAATTGAGGTGGCAAACCGGGTACTGAACTGCGAAATGTAAAATATTTTAACTTTAGATAAATGATTAATGCAACGATAAATGCCAAAAATAGTATGAGCCACATTGCATGTAAATGAGTACGTATTGACCTGAATTTACTTTCTCTGAAAGAAAAGAAATGGTATAATCGTATATGGCTGTTCGTAATCTATATATGCTGTGTTCTTTGGATCGTACAGTAGAAAAAAGAAAAGACATAAAAGAATAGCAATAACTTATCAAACATTTGTCGAGAGGATTGAAAGAATATATAGGATTGGAACAAAATACAACCAGTTGTTTCTTCATGCCATTTTAACCAAAATATGAAAGGAAAAAATCTACTTGCTTTTTCCTGAAATGGAAATTTATTTGTTCTAATAATGAAGATTATTGGCCAGATGTTTGTGTTCGAAATGTCGTATTACCAAAAATTTTTAAAAAATCAGACATTAAAAATGAGTTGATTCTTTTTCTCGTCATAGAGACGAGTTTCAATTTTTATTTATAAAAAAAAACGTTTTTAAATTCCAGTAGCAGAAAATTCACTTTATATATACTACGACTTTTTCCTTTTAATTCATGAATCCTCATCGGCTTTGTTGGCTTGTCTACGGTTATAAAAGCTTTTCTGAATACTTCTTTTATACATAAAATTTCAGGAATCCCGAGAGTTTACAATTACCCCTTCATAAAAACACTGAATTTTTCTATTGAACCAATTCATGGTTGTTTGTTATTAATTATTCTTAAACGTTTCTTAATAAATAAGAACTTGAAACTTTCCTCTATTACAAGAAAAAAATTAGCATATTGAATTATACTCAATGAAAGATATCCGAATTCTTATTCAAACTTCTTACATAGTCACATTTGAATGTTAATGAGATAATTTCAACAACAGTTTAGATTGCTGAGAATTGTCCAACTTTGAAAGCTTAAAAGAGCTTCTCATCCTTTAGATTCGACTCAATCTTCAATTGACGTTATAGAAGACAGCCTAATCTCTAATTCCATCCAAAATATCAGTAATACTTTTAATACAAAGCACATTTCTAGAGTTGATTTATATATTTTCAAATGAGAATGCAATTAAACAAAGGAGTTGTCTAAACCTAAATATAAAATTGGTTTTAGAAGGAAGCATTGCCTCACTATTGGCTTGGGATGAATGTGTCTTGAGTATTGTAACGGTTTTCACCGTTATGCTTTGCCAGTGTAACCTTTGTATCGGACACTGACTTTCTCTCTCAATCTCTCTTTGTTCTCTCATGTGTAACCAATCCTTCTCCTATATAAGGCGTGTGCAATAAAAGAAAAGGGACAGTTGTGAGTGTGTAGATGACATAAGATACCATCGTACCGACGGGCATAGGTAATCACTGTCACAATTCGTCACAATTATTACAAATTAAAATCGAATTACACATATACAGAGTCAATGTGCTGAGAAAATTCACATAGATCTGTCAAGAGAAAGAAAGAAATGAAGAACAAGTGTCGATGGAATAAAAGCATCTTTTATTTACTCTATGATTTATTTCGGTGAATGGAAATTAAAAGAAAAACAATGATATACATTCATCAAATTATACAAAACAAAAAAAAAACATTTAGTCAAAAGAGAAAACAGAGTTATAAGATGAAAACACATTAACGTTCTTTATTTTCACCGTACAATGAAATTTTAAAGAGAAGATTAACTAATAAACTTGAATTCTTCACAATTGACGTTCTAGCTCTTCACTTATGGCGGTTCAATCATGTAACAATAGATGATTTTCAATAATGACCAAATCATCATCATTTCATATATGTTTCATATACCATTTTGGATCGCGCATAATCTTTTTTTCTTCTACTATCAAACTCTTGAAATGTTTTTGTATCGATCTCTTCATTATTAATCAAACATTTACTTTTCACTGGTTGAATAACATTATCCGATATCTCTAAATATCGAAAGAAATTTTCATTTGTTTTTCGATGTGATATTATCATAGGATAGGTATATGTATTTCCTCCGTAATATGATAATGGCATGACATTCGAAATATGAATTGTTTTCAAATACAAAATATCTTCTTCTCGAATTAATTCTAGTAATATTCATCCATTTAAAAATGTTGTTTTTTCATTTTCATATTCAGCAGGAGCTTTTACACAGTAAAGCATAAAATATTGTAGTACATAATCTTTTTACACATCCGTTTTTAATAAGTATTCTAGTGAAAAAACATAAGTCAAAATGAAATGGCATTGAATCACGAGATGAATGACTACTCTCGGGTATTGATTCTGGTTTTATTACAAGCAACGAGTCAAATTTCCGTATAACTGGTAGAGAAAACTGTTCACAGAATTGCGAATATTTCTCTTTGTCAAACGAGTTTTGACATCGACGAAGAACAATGAAATCGGATTTTTCCATTAGCATTTTCGTTCAGGCAAAATTTACTTGAAATACATCAACTTTCTTATTTAAATCAATTGATAAACCGAAACGGGGGCGAATCATCAAGTAATGACAACTTCAAAATAGATGCTAGTGAAACAGGTGAAACGCTGGGCAATTGGACAAAACATCATATTTGACTTTTGAACATTATTGGAATGTGTTCATGCTGTAAATTTAATATTCGATATGGCATCAGATTTAAATTTCCGTCAACGTTGATAACTAAGACGTTTTGCCATAGTGTACAAAGAGCACAGTGCCTATCGAATTCCGGAACGGTATTGTGGAATAGACGAATTGTAAATTTTTCTCCAGTATTTGGATGTTGATGAATGGAAAGACGAATATGATTTGTATAGTGTTGTTTCAACAGATTTGTCAAGCTTCATTCCGTCTGATCATTTGCTTGGCGACTGAACTCATTTGATTTTGTAATTTTCGACGGGAAAGAATTTTATACCGGACTCTGTTACCCAAATCATTTGTCATAAATTTCCTTAAATGAACAAATTGTTGTCGATTACTTTCAGATTTTAATAACCATTGATCAAAAGCACATATTGCTGTTCCATACTTTTTCACCAAATTTTCATCATTGCCAATTCCATGTAATTATTCATACTATCTCATTGAATATGAGTCATTGTCATTGAATAATACTTTAAAAGACGCTCATATGTGGGGATATCTTCTTCGGATACACCAATCAGATCACCAAATATTCGTCCATCCGATCATACTATCAGAACGCAACCATATTCATCGAGAAAACTAATTTTTCAACAAATTTCATGAAAATATTCGAGTGCGTATAATTCTCCAGCATCAACTAATTTCTCACAAACTTTTCCATATTTGGAGATTCGCATGGAAATGCTGGCAATAATAATTTAATTGGTTGGTTTTCTTGCGTAAATGATTGAATTTTCTTCAACAATTTATCTCGTCCACATTCTTCATACAAATCATCTTGTGATATTGAACGGACTGATAATAATTTCTTTTCGAAAATATCGATAATTTTCAATTCTAATGATGACATTGATTCTTCTTGTTGATCTTATTGCTGATCATTCGATTGAAATAGACAATTAGCCGGCAAATATGCTTCGATAATGATGAGAACTTGAGTGCAAATATCTCTAAACAAATTCTAATTAATACAAAAGTTAAATAATATACGAAGTGTTGCCATAGAAACATACCTTATTTGTAACTACAAAGAATAGTTGCCTAATGTGAATGTACTGAATTGCAAGCATTTATTTATATAGATGATGTGTGCTGTTGAGAAGCTCGTGTAAGCACCTATACAACAACAGCTGACGCAATGAAAAGGATGGCCATTTCTGTATTCTTCATGATCTATCTACGAGTTGTTATAATGCATAATTTTGGTATATGTTGTTTACGAGCTTGTATATTAATATACATAATAGTTGATGTGGAGAAGGAATGAAGGTGATCATTGTCATTTGCTATCATACACTCCATCTCACCTACTAGGAATGTGAATTAAATCGTTATTGTTTATTACTAACGTCACTGTCAGTGTGTAAATAATAACCAATAGCAAAGTTTCACTGTGCCACGTTTTTCATGAGTCAGGCAGTATTTTTGGCGTTGGCTCCTTAACTAAATCAAATTGCTTGATTTATGAAGGAGACAAATGGATAATAGATTCAAAATGAGAAGACATAATCAACACACATTCAACGATATCGTAGGTATTACAATAAAATTGAATCCATTCGAATTGTTTAATTTTAGCGTTTGTGTTGTCTCTGTATTTTCAATGTTGAACTTTTCTAGTGGAAAAATAAAATCAATTCAATGTTCTCTTTTGTTTTCAATTGATTTAAAACAGTTGTTTTCAAATGGGGCTCATTTGATTTCTTAGTCGACAGTGAACCAATGTTTATTATTATTTTATATCTATTGATGTCATCGGTGGTATTATGACCGGTGTATTTTTGTTTTATCTCAGTAATAGATAATCATCTTTAGTTTCAAAATAAAATTCTATTTCTTAAGAAAAGCCAAACTTTTCGTACTTTTTGGAAGTTTATACAAAAATGATATTGCTCAAAATAATCATTAGCAAATAAGTAACTAAAATCTGTCGTTCTAATATCAAAGTCAAACTATTTTTAGAAGATTATTAGTTTCCAGGCTTAGAATAGTCTGAACTATTCCTCAAAGCGATTCTGTAAAATTCGCAAACCTTTGTGTCCCACACTTTTAGTTGAGAGTATTAGAACAATGAAAGAAAATTTACATTAGTTTGTGTAACTCAATTTTAAACATTTTATCAATCTTTTTTCTGCTTAGCAAAGACTGTACATCAATTAGAAAAGAGAGAGAGAGACAAATTTGAGAAAAAAAAGTGTCACTATGTTAGAAAGAACGACGAGCAACGTTGAGTATTCAATGGTGAAAATGAATTCGTTTGCCTTTCTATCTATGCCAAGAAAATTAAAAAAAAATATCGGTGATTAATTAAAACACTAATCATGTGCTAAGTAGTGATTAATCGCCGATTTTTTACCATGACCATAGCTTGTGGTAGTTAATATACGAAAAGGATGGAAGCGCTTAAAAGAGCATCAGCACAAAAAAATAACAAG